ACTAGGCCTGAACTAGGTAATATAGGCACCTGATAGGATCTTGGTTTATTTTCCCTTAAGTGTCATGCCATTAAGTGTCATGCCATTCCCCTACTGTTTCTCCTACACTCAGGGGCAGAATTAAGGTCAATGTTAAGGTGGGGCCAAAAAGTTTTAATAGAGAAAAAAGTAAGAATTGGCAATGTAAAATTATATGTTCATTTATAAATTATTTTTAACATATTTCACTAAAATTCATGAAAATTTTAAAATTAATTAATTTTGTATAAAAATTTAAAAAAAATTAACTTTGACCTTATTAAATATATATATATATATATATATTAATAACATATTTTTTCACCAACATTTGATAGGGATAAAAGGATAAACTTATGATAAAAAGTCAATGACATACTTATAAATATATTTCCTTTAATCCTATTTATAAGTCACTTTCAATATTTTTACCAAAACTAAAAACAAAACTTTAAACCTTATTAACAATGCCTAAAAATTTAACAAATTTTTAACTTTACCTCTATTAAACATACATAATTTTAAAAATAAAATACTTTAACATTAAATAACCTCGCCAATATTTAATATGGATAAAAGGGTAAATATGAATACAATAATCTTTGAAGAGTCTTATAAGTATGACTAAAATAAATACTCTCTCTATCATATAAACAGGTCAAGATGAGTAAAAATATTCTTCTCTTTTTGTCTCATAACTAGGGTCAAGGGGGGAGGGAGAGAGTGTGTGTATTAATCATTAAAAAAATGATAGGCAATACTCTTATTAAAAATGTGTAGTTTTCAATTCTTATTCCAAAGCTAAATAAATGGGTACCTTATTACCTTTAAAGTGCCACATCAACAATTCGTTATTACCTTGCAATGCCACCCCAACAATTACATGCAACTGTCGATAATTGTATGATATTATATGTGCGCGCATGTGAATAGGGAACCTGGAAGCTTTTCGCCTTGCTGCAATCCCCTGTGCTCTGTCATGAAGTGGTGGAACTTGGGGGGCATGGCCCCCTCCACGTACAATGCAGTTCCACCCTTGCCTACACTTCTTGAAAAAAATATATATATATATATATATATATAAAAGCACTTTTTAACCTTCCAAAGGGTAAGGATTCCATGCTTCTATCTTTCAAAAGCATTGGGATTTTGTTCAACATGATATTTTCCATGATATCAAGTTTTTTGGCACACGGAACACCTTCTCAAACAGTTAAATTAGACCAAGATTATTTTAATTCCAAAAAGACTATAGCCACAAACTCTTCAAACATCTTCATCCAATCAACTTATGCAATGTCTCGTACAAAATAATATCCAAGATGCTTTGTAATAGATTCAAAGAAGTGTTACAACACACTATGTCTCCTTTTCAATGTGCTTTTTTAAAGGATAGATTTATAGCTGTCAACATGCTTCTTGCAGATGATAAGAAGCAGATGATATATTATGAATCAAATCCCACTTCTCCTGTAAGGCTAGATAGAGGAAGTCGGCCGCACTAAAATTGATTTCTCAAAATCATTTTCCAGGCTTTCCTAGAAATTTCTTGAAGCAATCATGGTCATAATGCTTGTAGATTTATAGAGTCTGAAAGCATACTTATAAGTTGCACTAGATTATATTTCTATACAGACGAACATAGTTATTCGAACCCGGTTCTTGGTTCACAACAAATGCATTGAGAGAAAGAGCGAAAGAGAGAAAAGAACACCTCAGGTTTTCTTAATCTGCCTCGTTAATAACTCTCCCATAAGAGATATACACACCTGCCAAATAACTTCCACGCATGAAGATAAAGGAAACGTGCGCACGGTCAACACTTTAACCATTTCCTCTCATTACTCAAAATGAATTTGGGATATATTGCAATTATGGACCCTCATATTTTTCCCTTATTGATTTGACCTCCTAACATATAATGTGGGCTTGGGCCAACAATAGTAAGCCATCAAGGATGTACTATATGTCAAAACTAACATCTCACTCACATTTAGTGAATTAAATATTATTGATCCTATCTCTTTCTCTTTCTTCTTTTCATATGAAGTGCTTTACTATGACTGCATAGGTTTAATGTCTTCATTTCAAGCATTTATACTAAAAATCCTATTAAACACCAACACAAAATAACCCTAATGTTTATTTATTCTTATGTTGATAACTTTCTACCATAAATACCCTAGATTTATCTTATATACACTTTTCTCTCAGCCAATCTAATCCCTCTTGAGTCAGTATAAAACTCATATTGCCTTTCTCATATGCACAATGCCCACACTTACAAAACTCATAAAATGATATCATAAGAGACTAGTCTCAAACACTAACATAGGTATGTATATATCAAGTAATTTTCTTTTTGCTCATATATCACTTTGACAAAAAATAGCCACTTTCGTAGCACATTACTTTTATATGCATCTATCATGATCATAAAATATATGCTAAAGTAATAGGTGCATAACTTACCTCTATGATATGATCAAAGTCAAAGGACATCTTTGAAAGGATTATTCCTTCTCGAAACTCACACAATAATGAAATAGGGATATTTTCACTTACTTCCCAAATTGCAGTTTCCAAAGCACATGTGATATAAATCACACATTATGATGTTACTCTTATTTGTAAGAACGTATGTCATTTTTATTTATTATTAACACCGTACTGACTTAAGTTTAAACACACATGGTATCTAACTCAAATTTTTCTACTCATCTCTCATGACATCAAACTTGGAGAATTTGTTGTGTGGCTACAGGTATCACAAATGTGGAATATATTATTTGATATTAATATATATATATATATATATATGGATCTCATCTAAACATAATCATCTTTTTATGTTAAGGCGACATATAGTTTGTGTTTCTCTACCATATCAGCACTCTTGCTACTTTGTTGGTGAACACAAATGTCTTAACTTTGTTTGCTCCTCTTGAGCATTAAATGCAATTGCTCGTGTGAGAGAGCCAACTTTCTCTACCTGTATGATGTATTAAACATTGTATACTTTCACACATACATGCATAGCAATAATGAAATAATTTTCATCAAAAAAGCTACTTTATGCATGTATTTCAATTCCTACACATACCAATGGACTTAACACATTTTATTCACACTTTATTGGCTATAAGCTTTATAAGGAGATTTCTTATCACATATTGTGTAAGACTAAGTTATACAAATACAACTATTTGTGTTGTAACATCTCATACAAAGTCATACTTTATATTTACATTTTCAATCTTGTTATGATGCTTGGAGTCTCGCTCTTGTATAACAAAAAATGTAGTGTTGATTTTAAACCTTTAAAAGTAAGAAGTGTTATGTGTGACCTCAAAATTCAGGAGAATTTTGTATATTTTAGCCTATTAGATATAAATAAAAATACTATTTATTACAGTAAATTAGTATTTCTTTTAAGATCATACTAAGCAACTGAATTTATAAATAATATTTTGATTTATTTTATAATTTATTATATCTGACTTCCTTTTTTTTTAAGTCTAAATATCCTCTACAAAATAGACGGATGTTAAAAATCCGAACCTCTCATGAGTTGTGTATTGTGATGTTTAAAATTGGAGAAGAAACATCATCAATGAAGCTGTTTAGAATGATTAGAGGCATCTAATCAGGTGATCTTGAAGACAAGAATGGCTGGTCAGTTGAAATTGATTGAGCTTTCGAAAATATTACAATTTTGTGCAATGTCTGCTTGTATGAATATTACTAGGTAAACACACACACACACGAGATCGATGAGTTTATCATATCATATGAAAGAACTCAAGCAGAAAGAATTATCATAAACTACCAAGTTTTTGTTGGAGTGAAATGACTATGGGCCTGTTTTATTTGTGTTTTTATTTTTTGTTTGATATTTTTTTTTGGTAATATAGTTTTTAAAAAGAAAAATTAGAACAAAATAAAAAAAAAATGTTTGTTTTTAAAGTTGAAAAATCAACCAATAATAATTGCCGTCACTAATGATAGTGACTTGACAGTTTTTAATAGTCAAATGTAAAGTGTTTTAAGAAAACAAACAATTATAAGAAGCTAGTTTCATTTTATTTTTGTTTTTATATTCTTAAATGTTGCAATATATCTTACATTAAAAACCATGATAAGAAGTCCAGTGCAAGGACCCGAGGTTTTTTGTTTTTTGTTTTTTTCCTTTTGCTAAATTCAAATAAACACTAAAGAGCATTAAAATTATAGGATTTGAATCAGTGAATAATTTAAATATACTCAATGAATACATTATGACATAATAATAATCATTTAATTTAATCAAATATCTGTTAAAGATTTTATCATATAATACTCAAAAAGTATCAAATTTTAAATTTTTAAAGGAATAAATAACATATGTAAGGAGCATTCTTATCATGAGGGTTGTCCTGAATTTTTGAGGTGAATGTATTTTGATCATTTTCAAATATTAATGAAATCCAACAAATGTAATTGATATATTCATTGAGTGAGTTACTTAGACTACTCATCAAATCCAAATTCAAAATATACAGCTAATTAAACAAACCGTAACATCAAATATAAATCTATAACATAATATTCACAAGCTATAACTAATGCAATTCATTCCACAAATTTTGTGAAATACCTAAAAAGACCAAGCTTTTATGAAACAACCTCCATCGGAATTGACTTGGTGACAGGACAGGCAAAGCCTCAAGACACAAAATTGCAATCTTCCAGTGTCAGGTTATGCATGAAGGTTGACATATTTGTAACCATAACATAAAATCAAACATAAATCTATGACAAATCGCAACATTCACAAGCTATAAACAGTGTGATTCATTTATCGAATTTCGTATAATACAAAAAGAGCCCAGAAAATTTTTATGAAAACAACTTCAAGAGACAAAATTGCACTCCTCTGGTGTGTTTGGTTGTGCGTAAGGGTTGACATATTTGTAAACATAACATCAAAACATATAGCTACATAATATCAATAGGATTTTGTAATTACTTCGTCTAAGCACTATCCAAATCAATAGTGACACAATGGCATATATTAACCATTAACCAATGAACTAGATCATCACAATGAAATACATCTTAGTCTCAATGTAAAAATCTATAATTTTCATATAATGTATTGAACTTACCCTTCGGGCCCTTAATTGAGTGAAAAATATAACATTAAAATCTCAGGGGTATGCTTTGATATGAAATACTTGGCAAGCTGGCTTGTATGATCTCTTAGCTGCAGCTTGCTCAAATTTCTTTCCTGCAGCTTCATTCTCTTCTAAACTAGTCTGAACAAAAAACCTTATCCACCAAGACGAGCTTCGTAATTTGGCCTTCACAGATGGAAAATCCCATTAACTCATTATTCTTCAATGGTCAAATCTACAGAGTTTATTCTTTTAGGCAGATGCTAAGATTTGTTTTATAAAAGACCGACAGGACATAAAAAGTCTCAAAGTGAGAAAGAGGCTGAAGAAGAATAAATAAAGATTCATGGGTATAGAATAGTAGCATCCACAGCGTTACAGCCTCCAGAGAGTTCGGATTGTTAGTGGTAGTTTCAATCTGTAGCTTAACTTCAACATTGTCAATATTTGTTAAATATTTAGTGCTGACAGGTTATTTTACAATTTTAACCAGAATAAAGGCACTTTTTAACATCAATTGTCAATAAGAAAGAAATGTCAAGGAAATTCTATTCTTCCAAAACGAATTTGATCCACAATCACTCTATCAAGATTCTGGTATGCTGAAATAAATTATAAATTCCATTGCCTTTGCAATCCCTCTAGCCACAATCAACTCTAGTTTCCCTTTGTATACTGTGTTTAATTTTTAACTATTAACATCGTAGCCGCATGTAGCCATATTAAATGCCTACTCTGAAAAACATATGGAGACATCCAATAAAGAAGAGTCACTTACTGGACGGCCAAATTTCGCCACTTCTCCATCTTTAGCTCTTTGCTGACCTGGATAACCTATGCATAAAGATGATAAATCAGGCAAAGAAAAAGCGAACTTACATATGAACATTTGCTATCATACCCAACATGAACTGTTAAACATATATCCAAAAAGCATGAAGATCAAATAAAGTTTTTATTAAAAAAAAAAGAAATATAAGGAAATTTATGAACAACCCATGATTATCATCAACTAAAATTCAAATCAATTACTTGAAAAAGGATTGCCTCAGTACGGAAGATTAATTTGGGATAGAAAAATAACCACAATGCACTGAAACTATGCACCATGCTATGACAAAATGCATAACTGTTAATATTTAATGATTAAATTTCCTATAGGTCTTCGCTCTGGTAAAAACATAAAATATGGTGTCATGTCATTTAGGTGGATGAAACACTCATTGGTCATATGTAGCTTACATAAACCCAGTTCTAGTCTTCCAGACTAGGTCCTCTAAGATTCCAATTAGAAAAATGCTTAATCTGGAATAATCTTGAATAATGGAAAGTCATGAGATGATGTACCAGAAAAGATGGCAACACCATCAGCAGCAACCCTTGCCAACTCTGGAAGAGTTCTATTCAGATATTTTGGAGATAAGTAATCCAGTACATCTGAGACAATGACAAGCGAAAATGATTTTGCACGATATGGTAAAGGAAACTTGATGTCAGCTGCACGCACAATGCCCTTGTGTACAAGAGTCTTGCAGTTTGCACTAACATCATCTAACTCATATGGCTCAATTCCCCAGGCCTCAGTTCCCTCGCCTTTCAATAAACCAGATGCCACAGAACAAGTGTCTGGACCAACATGCAAAACCTTACGTGAGCTGTCTCCATATGCTTTCTTTAATACAGGCAAGGCTTTTAGAACTTCTAATGTGCATGAAGCACCACCTGCATATACACACCAAAGATCATACAGCTGAAAATGGATTTCCATTCTCCATTTACGGTAATCAACAGTTTTACATTAAATCTGACAAAAGAGTGCCCATTTATAGTAACAAGACAACATATTAATGTTTATCGTACATATTAAGATGAAACAGCTCCTACTTACAGTTACAGGACAACATTATTAAACTTTATCACACACGTTGAGATACACAATTGCCAGGTTCCATGTACTACAACCACTGAGCAGGACATGAAAGAAGACAATTCAAAAACAATACTCAGCAAAATGAGGTTTCATGCTCTCACCAAGTATTAGAACCATCAGAGAATACATTTATGCATTTATTTCATTTTTTTGCTGAAAATAAAATCTGAGTTTTGGGCATGATGATATTAATTCTTCATAACTTAGTAGTCAAATCAACACAGCCAACTTACTAAGCATAGTTGGGAAAATCACGAGTCATTCCTTACAACTAGAGTAGAGATTGAAACTAGGTGAAGAAACTACAAGACAACTCTTTTTCCTATTTCAAAATGATATGTAAGTTCTAAATTGAAATTTCATTCAGAATCCTTTCCATTTTGAGTGCATGGGGCTGCTTAAAATCTGAAGGTCAAGCAGTCTGTTTAAAATACAACAGTTATAGAATAGCGTGAGAGATGGAGAAAGAGAATTTCAGGGTCGGAAAGCATTTAAATTGGATAAGCTTCAAGTATTTCAACACAAAACAATATCAAAGAAAGTACAAAAATATAAGGTACTACCCCCACTAAAGAAAGGTAAATAAGGCTTAAATAAGATATATCCAAATTGAAATTTTACATAATGCTATCTTCATGAAAAATTAAATCAAGAAGATAACTACTTTCATGTTAAACAACACAGCGCCTTTTGAGACAAGATATCAGGTGATATCACATTTTCTAACGGCAAACAACGTCCATGTGACATGAAAACCAAATTAAAAATAAAAATACATCAAGATAACCATAATACTAAATAAATTTAGACAAAATCTAACAAATGTAGTAATTCACTACTTCTGCCACAATGACAATCAAGTGCCTGACAGTTGCTCCGTATGAAATTAATACGGAAGCATGAATTTCTTTTTTTATTTTTTTTGAACAAAAGGAAGCATGAATTTCAATAGCACAACAAAAATGGTACAAGTATTACCTTCAAGTCTACTTACACCCTTAATATCCACACTTGCTCCACCTGCCAAGTGAGCAAATAATGTTTAGGAAAATCAACTTTAGAATGGAGTTTACAAACAAATTAATTTTCACGCTATCTTCATTAATGGCACGTGTGGTATTGTGTCTGCATGTTTTCTTTTTCTTTTTTTCAGTAAGCATTTTGTTAAAGATGAGGATTTAACAAGATATGTAATTATCAAGGTATTTTTCCTGCATGTTTTCTTTTTCTTTTATCTAGTAAACATTTTGTTAAAGATAAGGATTTATCATGGCAGGATGACATAGAATTCATGAGACGTATACAAGTCAGTTGCTTCAGCTTGTTCATTTGTTATTCTCTGCTTTTGGCTTGTATAATGTCACAATTCCCAGTTAAATTACTCAATTATTTATTAAATTTAGGAAGATTTTAAAGGAATTACTCAATTACCTAACAAAAAGGGTATGATTCCAAGACAGAGACAACAGGGTGCTCAAAGAGAAAGGAAAAACCTTAATTGGAGAGGTTCAAAATGGACTTTGTTGAAGAGGTTCAAATTAGACTGTTGCTAATCTTCCTCATAAAGAAAAGTGTTATTCATTGAATTATTCCATATTTATGGCTTGAGGCTGAGGTTGCTATCTGTATTTTATTTATAGCTTCTTATTTTTCTTTAACCAACTGAGGATATGAAAATTTGCATACTTCACTGTGCTCTTCTTGTGGCCTTGTGGGAGCATCATTATGGACAAGCAAATCCACGCCTTAGTTAGAAAATTCAAGCTCAAAAGGACTAGAGGAATTGAGTTTACTGTGTCATTTAGTATTTGAAGCATGAGGTTTGGACAGTTGGAGACAGATTCAAGATCCCTCCCTTTTGCATTAAAAATGATATGTTTTTAATTTATGGTGATTTAAGTCAACAGATTATTTACAAACCTGAATTGCTAAAAACGTAACCAATGATGAGGATTGCACCCTGAAATTTGCAAAGGACAAATTAAGTGAAGTATCCAACCTATTGAAACTGTGAGAATGCAATGGAACATAAAAGTTGAAAGAACCATAATGGGAAGGGGCAGGTAAAAAGGCCATTGTAAGAGATATTTGATGCATCAATGTTGCAACAAATATGTGCATAAAAGTATTAAATATCAAACTTAAGCATGCTAATTTTTCTTTTGCGGTAATGAAAATTACAGAAATGCATAGGGAAGCACCACGACAACAAGCCCAATGGACAGTAAAGGGGAGCTGCGAGATTTAGACTGAATCGAGCCCACAAATGGTATGCTCCCACCATCAGCTAAGCGCCGTGAAAGATTTACTGGCCTCCTTGACATGATCCTAGAAATGAGCCTCTCAAACCTAGCACAAGCGTTAGTTAATTAGCTTGACTATAGTAATTCCAGAAAAGGAAGTAACTTATTGTCATGCATTTTCTACTCTCTTTCAATTCAGGAATGCATTCATCTCTACTTCCTAAACCAGTAGAACTGTCAAATACATATAAGCATACTATTTATCTTTAATGGTGTGTTTGGTTGGGGTTTTTTGGAGGGGAGAGGAGGGGAGATGAGGGGAGATACTCCCCTCCCCTCATTTGGTTAAGAAATTTTGGAAGGGAGCGTTCCCCTCCCCTCTCCTCTTATCTTATTGCTCCCCTCCAAATTAGGGTTTTTTGGAGGGTAGCTAATTTTTTTGACTATTTAGCCCATATTTGATTTTTAATATCATAAGTATACCCATAATTAAAAAAATTATCCTTCATATCAGATTGTGCTTCACTCTCAAACCTCCACTGACATCATTCGATTTAAAAAAAGTTACATTTCATCATATTTTATTATATATTTAGTTACTTATTTATTTTAAAAAAATTGTTATCATTATAATTATTGGTTTAATTTTTTTTTCACATATTGACAATGTGATAGGATGAGAGTGAATTTTTAAAAAATCATGCAATTTAAATTGAGGTGGAAAATTATTTTCTACAAGAAAAAATTTTAAAAATGTTAAACTAATGTATAGGGATATAATATTAAATTAATTATTATCTCTCCCGTTCCCTCTCCTCCAACAAAACCAAACAAGGAAATATTAAAACCCTCCCCTCCCCTCCTCTTGAACCAATCACACCTTTAAATTTGAAGTAAATCAAATAAATCAAAATAGCAAAATGAATGTCAACCACATACTCCACCTAGTGAAATAAGGCTTGTTGTTGTTGTTGATAAATGTTAATGACATAGAACAACATAGTATGCTATCAAAAGAATTTCCAAGTATCACAAGAAATTCAAAGATGATATACACGCCAGAGCACTTAAACTGACAATCTCATATCAATGTGCAGCCATATGTTCCAAAAATGTACATTATTGGGATCATATACATTGGAATGGTTTTGAATATAAATTTCAAAAGAATCAAGTGTTTATAAGCCAGGGAAACTTTTTTTTTTAAATGAAACAAATTCATTATGAAAAAGTAAAAAGATTAAAGTATAAAAATATTGTCACAGGTCCAAGGTGAGAAACTAAAATTCAACAAGAAATAATCCTCATTTAAAACCCTGATTTCAAAAACAAAAAATGATGGAAGCAATTAAGCAGGGAGCATCATTCCGGTGAATACCTATAGTTGTTGGAGTGCAAAAACTATATCCTAGAGGAAAATATGACATCCAGAAACATTTCACAATAATGTGTTTAATACACCAGTGATAATATAACAGTACGGTGTACATGCTACTGGAGTACAATCTGACTTGAACTACATTTTTCATGGGCCATTAAAAGCTGTTGACCTTAACTTCTATGTTTCTCTATTTCTAACATGATCTCATGTTTTTTTACTTCGCATCATGCATCGCCTGTTAAGCCATTTTATGTGGTCTAGCAAGTATTTTATTTCTAAAGCGAAAAAACACAGTGGACTTAACAATTTGGAGTTTGAAAGGCAATCCCATGCCACCTCTAAGAATGTTAAAGTAAAGGATGAAAAAATTGCCCTTTCCACAGCTCCCAATCGAACCTCAAAGGTTAATCACTTAACATTTGAATGACAACCAGGAGAGCATAAAATCAACCAAGTCTCAGCAGCATCAAACTAACGACATACAGTGAATATAATTATCTGCAAATAATTTAATCAGACCCCAGAAATTTTAATTCTTCCATATCTCTTTCTATAGCATGATAAGTATGGCTCTAATTGCAGAAATTTTATACGACAAAATGACAACAGTGTCACTAATAACAAAGAAGATTTGACAAATTAAGCTGATCTTATTATCAACTAGTTCTTCGAGATATTAGTAAGTAATCAAATGTCGATAAAATGGAAAACAATTAACAAAGCAGACCAAAAACAAGCTTTAACTCACAACGACAAAGTGAGAAAACAGATCAGCAAATACGAAATTCAAGCGACAAAGATGGCATTAGACGGAGCAGACAGAACTTGAGATGAAAGAAACAGAAAGAGAAATCTTGAACAACAGCGAACAGCGATGGAAGATCAATCATTTGGGTAAGTCGAAAAGGACCACCTGGAATGAAATCAAAGAAGGTAGATCTCTACCGTCGCGATCCAGATCTCCGGTGCTCTTGCTCAGCAGAAACTGTAGTATAACTGTAATAGAAAATAAAAGCTCGAAGGCATTAATTTTTTATATTTATTTTTTTCTTATAAAAGGTGTTAGGGAGAATTTTACTGGTTTGATCATGGACGTGACATATTTTTTTATTAAAAAATATAAAATATTTTTAAACGAATCTTATTTTTAATAAAATAGTTATTTATTTTTAAATTAAGCCTATCTTTACATATTTATTTCTATTAAACACCTTACAATAAATATAAAGTCATTATCAATATGGGCACTTTTGAAAAAAAAGTAACGATTACACCTTGAAAGACTAAAAATATCTTACATTTTTTAATATCCAACTCCTCAAAAAATATCTTACATTTTTTAGCGAAGGGAGTAATATTATTATTATTACTATTATCATATGGATTAAAATCTAAAATTTGTGAAATAAATTAATTTAAATAATGAATTGCCAAAATAACCCTTCTTTAGACATTAAAAAAGAAAATGACAGTCAAATTTATATGTAATGTTAGAAAATTATTAATTAAAATTAAAAAATTAACAATTGAAATTGCTTATAAATTTGTGCTTAAGCTAAAACTGAAACGTCGTTTGCAATAACTATAGCAAGAAATGGGCTAAGAAACTGAAGACTCAGGTCTAGTAAGCGATCTGACAATAAGACTACCTTAGATCATGATGAACAACCTAACTAAGTCAACACAGTTCTTCAAATCCTTTAAGACTCAGAGCCACTACTTAGGTTATTGCGTTACACAAAACCATAACCTTCACAAGCTTGAATCTTATAAAGTCATGGCCATTATCTATGAATATCTAAGGGACATGGGTTGATAATTAATGGCGATAAGCATTGTGAATAGGAAGATCATGCCACGAATCTTGCAAGCTGTGCCTATTGAAACCTCGATATTTCTCGAATGACTTTCAAATTTTGTGAAAGCAACCGTCTCAGCTATATCATTATAAACGGAGGAGAAGGTCACAGAGAAAGGGGCCAAGCAACAATCAACCATTAACACCCATTATAGTTTTAAGCTTGGTACTTTAATTTGTATTTTCAGATCATTTTTAACATCATTTTCAGCTTTGTAACCTTTACGATCTTGTATCTTGCACTTTCAATTAATCAAATACTTGTTATTTTAATTTCTTTGCATCTTTTATATCCGGATAAACTGTAGTAAGGGAACTCAAAGACCATTTGTTATCATTTGAGACATAATATCTCTGGCACGTATGGTATTTTTATTTTTCACAATGAACAATTTGAAAATTAATAATTGAAGTTGCTTTATAAATTTGTTCAATTAGTTTATATGGACTTATGAAGCAATATTAGTTGTTCATTTCCAACTTGTTAATTCTTTCATATCACTCGTAAATTACTTTACTTGACTTAATAATTTTTTATTTGTTCAATAAATTTATTTGAACTTATGAAACAATATTATTTATTAATTTTTCAACTTTACTTGTTAGTTCCCAACATCACTTATAAATTACTTTAATTGATTTGTTAATCCTTGAGAAAATAAGAAGAGTTATTCAATAGTTTATCTGAATTTATGAAGTAATTTTAGTGGTTAGTTTGTCAAACTTAATTATTAATTCCCCTATATTACTTATAAATTTGACTGCTATTTGTTAATGTTTAAACAGAAACTAATTATTCTTTTATCACTCATAACTATTTCATTCTTTTTATCATTTAAAGTAACTTTATTCCAGTTTTTGTCAACTAACCTCAAATTTTAGATTTTAGTGCATCTTATTTTGTTATTACCTAACATCTTCTCCCAAGCTATTTTTTGTTTCAATTAATCACCCTATGCGCTGCTCAGATTTCAAAGATTCTTTTTAATTGATTTGTTAATCCTTGAGAAAATAAGAAGAGTTATTCAATAGTTTATCTGAATTTATGAAGTAATTTTAATTGTTAATTTCTCAAATTTAATTATTAATTCCCCTATACTACCTATAAATTTGACTGCTATTTGTTAACGTTTAAACACAAACTAATTATTCTTTTATCACTCATAACTATTTCATTCTTTTTTCGTTTAAAGTAATTTTATTTCAATTTTTGTAAACTGACCTCAAATTTTAGATTTTAGTGCACCTTATTTTTTTATTACCTAACATCTTCTCCCAAGCTATTTTTTGTTCAATTAGTCACCCTGTGCACCGCTCAGATTCCAAAGACTCCATTTTTAATTTTTTTTATGTTGGGGGATAGCAAAGACACTCGCCAGAAACAAGGGTGGTGGGGTATGGGTGGTGTGTTGGTAAAGCTGCGGCGCACGCACATGCATAGTAGCAAATGGGTGGTGCTCTTGCTACTCTGCACGGGATTAAAATTAATGAATTATTCTCTCTATTTTTATATATATAATTATTTTTAATTAAATGTTATATATTAATAAAAATTTATTATTTAGTTAAAATTATATTAAATTATAATTTTTTTAATTTTATCTCTAATAATATCAATTAATATGATGGTGATGATGAGTAAAACATACAGTTAATATCTTTTCCTATTTTTCAAGATAAGGACAAGATTATTTAATTATTTAAAAATATTATAACACTCATTATATTTAATGATAAAATAAGCTTCTATAAAATACCCCCTACACACACACACATATAGGGACATATATAATATGAATTTCTTTTATTTATTAGAGTAATTTGAAAATGCTCCAAGTTCATTTGATTTCATGGGTAGTTGTCTTCAAGTAGCATTAGTATGAGAAAAAAGTGAGGTTTGTCTCAATGAAATATAGATCAATATTGAATAAACAAAAAACATGGGATTTTATTTTTAACTTTTAGAAAAAAATAGGAGATTTCATTTTTATTTCCTTTATTAAAGTATCTGTCATTTAAGATTATGTGCATAAATTCAAATTATAAAATAGTTTAGATTATAACAAAAGAGTAATAAATATTGTAATATTAAGTATGGATTTTCCTGACCTTTTAAGAGTTATCCTTTGAAATTCTCTAATTAAAACTAGATAAGCTACAACATGAATAGCCTCTTAGGAGTTTTTCAAAATTAACACATGTTATATATTTTACAATTATGTAGATTTATTCTTGTATATAACTCTTGTATTAGAATAAAGAACTTCTGACCTATAAATAGTAGGTATGCACCAAGTGATCATAAGCTTGAAGTGAATAATAATCTTTCTCTATTTTCCTCACTCAATGCTTTCTTGTTTTGTTTATTCTCTCATCTCAATCTCTTATATTCTTCTTATTTTTATAACATGTTACTAGCATGACATTCACCAAATTAGTTCATGGCATAAATTCAAAGAAATTTTTATTGATGCTTGTTGATTTTTGTCCATGGCATAGAATTGGTTTGTCCAAATGGAGTGATAAAAATTTATAAATTTATTTAGAAGGAATGATGACCTTGAAATTGTAAAGAAGGTGTAAATTTTACTTATTCATGGCTAATTAGATGTTCATATTGATGTATAAGACTTTACCTTATTTTATTTTTCCTTTGTGCTATTCTCATATTTTATATTGTATCATTTAAAAATTTAAATTTTATTCTTATATGCTTGTGATAATCAATTTGATATCTATTAATATTTTAAACTCATATTATTAAATGTCTGGCAATCATAATACTCTTGATCTTGTGATTAGATGGCCAGCAGTCATATCACTTTTGATAATGGTCTTTTATATGATTCTACCTGTTAACATAGTTAAGTAGCATGAGTAGATAGTACAGTACTCCATCCTAGGGGAGTGTAGAACATCCTTCCAATTGATGTCCTACTTTTTCTTGGTTACCACTCATGTAAATCTCACCTATACATAAATCGTGTAGGAAACTATACATAAGTGACCTCCTTGGCCTCATGAAATTTCTTATTTGCTTCACCATGTAGTAAACATGGTAGGCTTATCTATATTATAATAAACAACAAAGTCAAGTTATTCATTGTCATAGAATACCACATTTTGCTGGCCAAGCAGGTAAAATGATAATCTCTCTATTGATGGTTGTCTATAATTTATATATCAACTAAAAATATCCTCCATACAGCCTCACAAGAATATAAATACCTATAGTCATAAAATATCTTAATCTCATCGTGTATTTAACCATCGTTAGATTCACTTGATCTAGCATCAAATGTCGTATCGACTCTTTCATGACCCTTGTTATCATACTTAAAGAGATACTTAATTGACTGTGACTGATCACATTGCTCAACATTGATATAGACATTACACCTTACTAATAGACTTGGATTGTATAGAACAACATACTGATTGCCAAGCTCAACTCCATTCTTTTGTATAACTCATTCATTGTCCTATCTCTGATATTATAACATCCTGAATTATTGATTATGGAATTAATTACTAATAGGGGTGAATTAAAAATTGAATCTGAGATTAGAATTTTGGATGATGAAACATTGTTTTGACCCTTTAGGTTGTTACATGGACAAATTAGAGTAGGAGAATGTCATTGTGAAGCAAAGCATGTGAGCGTAGTGAGGAGTTTAGTCACTGTATTATGTGCCATAGCATAGCCTTCATGCATCGTGGCACATGGTACAGATTTTTCTTTTTCAATACAAGGCTCAACTCATGGATATAGAGGGAGAAGAAAAGAAGAGACAATAGAGAGTAGAGAAGGAAGAGACTTTTACTAGGGCAAGCAATTTTGGGAGCTATGATGACCTTTTTGACCTATTACTTATCTAGTAAGTCTTGTACCAATTTAATTTCAATTCTACACTAATTTCTTTTAGTTTAAACTATTGAGATATTGAATTTGGAAGTTTTAAGAGGTTAATTTCTTACCTTATAGTAATAAAAAGGCTCTTCAGAGTTAAATTAGAACCTTATTGGTTTGAGCTTTAA